CAACTGTCTGAATACATTCAATGTGAAGTGACTCATGTCTTGTTAAAGATTTTTGATAGCTTGCTTTTAGTTTTCAGGGTTGGGTCTATTTGCAGTGGCAAGTGGCAGTTAATTGGTACAAAATAATTTCTTGTCAAGAGGGGATGAGAATATTCTTAACATTGTGGATCAATTAAAGGGTTTCATTTGAATTTCCTGAAAAGTTATGATAGGCAACTGAAGAAGGCCAATGAGTACAATGGCTGAAACATTGTCATGTTAATGAAGATGAGGTCACTCAACAAATCAGTGTATTAATATTATAATCATCATTATTCATCTCATAAAAAACAATATGACTTTATATATTTATTGGTTATGCAATATGACCTCGCTTCCTTACTAATATGTTATAGCAACAGGAGGCATTACTCAATGCCAATATGTGAACATGACTTGTGTTACCACAATATTGAAATATCTCATTAAGTAGAGATATGGCAGCTAATGCATTTCTTTTGTTTCCTGTTAGCTTTGTTTGAATATTTTTACTTTAGTGATTTTAAACAGTAGAGTTAATAGTGTAAATAAAAATCCTAGATTATTTATGCAAAAAATATAACCATTGCAATTACTTAGTCATAATTTTTTGAGGGACTATGTGAAAACACACTTTATATTTATCTTATCACACACACACACGTATGTATGTGTGTGTATATATATATATATATATATATATATATATATATATATATATATATATATATATATATATTATATTCACACATGAGTAGGTCAAAATTATCTACACATTCACCATAACTATCTTTAGGTGTGTCACATTGCTCACTGTTTGTGGAGCAGTTATGTTTACACTAACAGCAGCAAGAAAACCTGTGTGATCAAATGCAAACTTTTATCACACGACCACAACAATAGTACCAATTATATACGTCCATGAGCAGAAAACAATATGACAAATCTAAAGGCATTATGGTGAAAGTGCGGGTAATTTTTTAATTACCTTATATATGCACACACAAATAATTCAAATGAATTATCTCCAGAGTAAGTCCTTTGAACATTTACTAATCAGTTTATTGAATATTGCTACTCTAATCATCTATTGAACTTTTTCAAAAATTCTGCTAGCCTTAAAATGTAAATTTTTACATCTTTTGATAGGTTACACACACACACACACACACACACACTTATTTTTTTTCAATAACTCAAGTCACATAACCAGGTACAAATCTACTTAAAAACTGACAAGTTTTTGAAGACTTAAGTGCTTAATACAAAAGTTGTAGAGTAAAAATAACTCATTTTTTTCTCATAAGATGCAAATAACCTACCCACAACTATAGTTTCACATTTCTGATTATCAGGTTGGTTCATTTACTATATTTACTACAACTCTTGTATTGGGCACTTTTTTTTTTTAGTCTGCAAGAACTTGTGATGCTTTTGGAAATATATAATAACTGCCAGCCTGAAGAAAGGACATGTGAAACTGCAGTAGCAGGTAGGTTGTATGTTTTTTTTTTTTTTTTTTTTTTTTTTCTTGAAAAAAGAAAAAAAAATGTATGTTTCAGCTAATAGCAGTCATGTTAACTAGTAATTCATTTTTTATTCTTACATTCAACTATGACTTTTCTGATCATCTCCTGCATACTAGTCTATAAACCATTTCTCAAAAATATCAGAGAGAAAAGGTTTCATATTCCTGTACTTGTTTATATGGCTAAATTATATGCCATCTATTTGAACTAGTATCCTCATTTTGGTTGTTGTTATCTCAGTATTTTACTCTTGAACTATCTTCAGGTGTCTTGGATTAGATAACATTCTTGGAATTTCCAAGCTTTTCATTCTATCAACCAAAAATAGTTGGCATTTGTAGGAGTTATTTAATTCATGCGACTTCTACTTTTTCTGCTGTCATTGTCTGAGACAGGGTTTGAACTCCCAAACACCAGCTAACTAGATACACATAACAAACATTTATATACTTAACCACTGCCTTGTAAGACAATCACTTGATGGGAATTTTGGTAGACATTGATTGATTTCTTTTCTATGGGTTATTAGTCTTTTGCAATTTATTTAAAGACAGAATTTTTTTTTACATAATGATTTAGTGATACAAGTCTTACTAATTAACTCAAAGCTGGTGGGGAGCAAAGGGGTGGATTTATACACTTTCTGAGGTTATTTACGCATTAGTCAGTATAACAAACCCAATTAAAATTCTTCAATTTGACAATTTTGAGCTATTATCCATTACAAATAATTTGATAAATCACACACTATCCAATAATAAATTAAAAAAAAAACAAACAGCAATTAAAAATTTCCCTAACCATACAATTTAAGTTTAGAAAAAAAATAACATTAACCATAATGCAAATAGAATTAAATCTGTTATTTTATGTTTTTTCCAGAAACCAACTGCACAATAGTCACAAACAAAAGGAAAAAAAATAAGAAACCAAATATATTGATATGTATCAGC